GATGAGGTCTTGCTGCCCAGGCGGGTCTCGAACCTGCGGGCTCAGGCAATCCACTCACCTCAGCCTCCCAAAGGCGCGGGATTACAGGCTGAGCCCGGCTTGAATACTTATTTAATACATTAAGATAAGGCTGATGTGCTAAGCTGAATTAGTCAAAGAACCTCTAGAACTTATGGTGTGCAATAAGTTTAGATACCAAATGTAAAATAAGTTATATTTTCTAGAAAATAAGTACTGACCTACAATTTCTTATCTATCATTCCAAAATTTCTAAAAAGCTCTGAAAACTCAGTGTTTCTTAAAATTGAATTTACGGTACTCTCATTTGCCAATAAACCAGTTCAGAATTAACATGAAGCTATCAAGAGCTCTATTTATCTTCTTTATCTGTGAATTTTCATGTTTCACTGCAGAAATACTCATGAGTTTGATTATGGGATACTGCCTCAGACTTCCCTGGTAGTGTTATATATATTTGCTCATTATTATTTTTCTAAAATCCCAAAACATTCTGGATTCTGAACACTTCTAGCTCCCCAGATATTATATAAGGAAAGTGCTAGAAATTCTGAAAGAGGGAAACTTTGCTTCTATCTGAAGGATATCTGGAAAGTTTCAGGAAGAAGGTACCATTAAGCTGGTACTTAGTACTTTAAACTTGGTAGATTTAAATATATGAAGGTTCTCTTGAAGCCTTGCAGGTTGTAGACCAAGAGTAAGAAACATGAATTAGGGTAGAGTCTAGGGTAGAGTTTAGCCAGTGTGATGCACAGGGAGTGTGGGGGAAGTGTGTGGGTGTGAAAGGGCCTAGGAAGTGGCCTGATAGGAAGCAGTGCAGGACAATTAGGGGAGCCTGAGTATGACCTGGAAAGGCATTGCTGAGCTAAGTAGAGAGTAATAAGCATAGTGTTTGTTTGTTATTATTTTAGATTCGGGGGAACACATGTGTGTTCGTTGCATGGACGTATTGTGTAGTGGTAAGGATTAGGTCTCAGGTGGCCCATTCCCCAGATAGTGAACATCGTGCCCTGTAGGTAGTTTGTGCTTTGAATTCTAAGTGAGCCATATGGAATTCGAAGTGAGTCATATATTTTGAGACTTTTTTGCTCAACATTGGATATTTGTGATTTTTCGCTTCAGTTATGCTGATGAGTACATTGTAGTTTATTCATTTTTCATTGCTGTTGAGTGTTCCATTCGTAACTGTAACACAGTTTCTGCATTCTACTATTAATCACTTTGGTTGTTTCCATATTTTTACTATTATGAATAATTTTGCAATGAATGAACATTCTTGTATATGTCTCCTTTTGACATGTTCAAAAGTTTCTCTTGTGTCTTTTCCTAGAGGCAGAGTTGCTAATTCCTAAGGTTTATGGTATTGCAAGATTGTTTGCTCATATTTTACTTAGGATTTTTCTGTCTGTTCAGGAGGAAGATTAGCTACTATAATCTTCCTTTCTCATGTTGTCTTTGTCTGATTTTATTAGCAAAGTTATATCAGGAGTACCTTGGGAAATTTCTCATCTTTTTCTGAGTTTGTGTAGGTGAGAATTACCTATCCCTTTAATGTTAGGTAAAACTCACCTGTAAACTGGGCCTGGTATTTTCCTTGTGGAGAAAGAATTTAAACTATTGATTCCATTTCTCTAAAGTTTTTAATTCAGATTGTGTCTTAGTGGGTTTTCATAATTTATATTTTTCCATGTAGGGTAATTCCCATCTTTCAGTATTCATTCCATCCAAACTAGATCCTAGCTTCACTATTGCTATTTCAATATGATGCATGATTTATGTCTTGAATACAGATTTAGAAATGCCTTTTAAGTAACTTTAAATAATATTGTCATATAGTTAATGAAGATTATTTTCTTTTCCTGTAGGAGGATCCAAATCAGATGAAAAAGTAGACTTGAGCAAGGACAAAAAATTAGCTCAGTTTAACAACTGGTTTACTTGGTGTCACAACTGCCGGCACGGCGGGCATGCTGGACACATGCTTAGTTGGTTCAGGTAACTGTCACATTCCTTCTTTCATAGGCTTTTAAGTAGTTTGGGTGTACCTGTTAGCATTTGGTCAAAGAGTGAATTTTATTTTTCCTGTCACTTGAGTTAAAGGTGGTACCAGCATTTTCATCTCTGGGTATCCTATGTCATCTTAAACTGTAAAGTTAATTCTTATATAAGAAATAGTTTAGGCCCGGCTCAGTGGCTCAGCCTGTAATCCCAGCACTTTGGGAGGCTGAGGTGAGAGGATTACCTAAGCCTGAGGGTTGAAGAACAACACCAGCAACTTGGCAAGACCTCATCTCTAAAATTAATAAATAAATAATTAGCCAGGCGTGGTAGCTCATGCCTGTAGTTCTGGCTACTTGGAAGGCTGAAGTGGAAGGATCGCTGGAACCCAGCAGGTCGATACTGGGGTGGGGTGTGCCACTGCACTCCAACCTGGGTGACGGAGTGAGACTCCAACTCAAAAAAAAAAAGAAGTTTAAATGTTTTGGATGGGTTAAATGTTTGAATACCATTATTCAATTGTATTTGCTTGGGGAGAGCATATGTTTAGTTTTTTTACAACTGATTGATATCCTGGAATCTATCAAGTAGTTGAATTATAACTGAAATGATACATGCATCTAACACTTGCTTTAGTTCTGTTGTGAGTCAGCTTGTGAGGTAGTCATGCCGTGAAGGCTCCCAAGGTTGTGTTCACTGAGTAATTCAGTGGCCCTGTGCTCCTCATGGATAGAACATTTACACCCAATTGATCTCATTTGCTTTAACTGAAATTCGGAGCACATTTCTGTTGCCTTTACACTGTAAATGAGATATCTTGCTCTGTGTGTGGGGGGGGGGTGGGTTTGTTTGTTTGTTTGATTTTGGCAGGATCTCACTCTGTTAGCCAGGCTGGAGTGCAGTGACACAATCACAGCTCACCACAGCCTCAACCTCCTGGGCTCAGGTGATTGCCATCTCAGCCTCCCAAGTAGCTGGGACAACCGGTGTGCTCCACCATGCCCAGCTAATTTTTAAATTTTTTTCCAGAGACAAGGTCTCACTATGTTGCCTAGGCTTGAACTCCCGGGCTCAAGCAATTTTCCTGCCTTGGCCTCCTAAAGTGCTGGGATTACAAGTTTGAGCTGCTGCACCCCAACCATATATTTAGAAAGTATATTTAGAAAGCTATATATTTTTCAGAGACTTTCTCCCCAAAGTTCAGCTTGACAGTCATTTCTAATCTAGTGCTTTTAATGCTTTTTCCTCTGGGTTTTAATTCCTATGTTTTTCCAAATGCTACTTTGAAAAGTTGCATTGTGGATAGATATTAAATATAGATAAATAGTTGAAGGCAGTGGCACATGCCTGTAGTCCTAGCTACTCAGAAAGTTGAGGCAGGAGGATCACTTGAGCCTAGGAATTTGACTCCAGCCTGTGCAACATAGCAAGACCCTGACTCTTAAAAAAGATGGATGGGTGGACGGACAGACGGATGAACAGACAGATGCTAGATAGATGTATGGATGTGTAATTTGGATTTTTAACTGTTATTTGACCTATTTTTTAGGGACCATGCAGAGTGTCCTGTGTCTGCATGCACGTGTAAATGCATGCAGTTGGATACAACAGGGAATCTGGTACCTGCAGAGACTGTCCAGCCATAAAATGTGACCACCTAAAGAGAAGCCTTCATGTGCAGAGCTTTCTAATAGATGTCCTTCATAGCTGGAAAACATACCTCAGTACAAGAAACTCATCACTTTCCTGTAATAGGAAAATAAATCATTCTATCAGATCAGCAATTTGATCTTTGAGTGATTTTGATTGTGCTTCACAAGACAGATGCTGCTGAAATGAACATCAGAGTGTGGGCATGAGTTTTGTTCAGTAGGTTGAAAAAGTTCATTTTAGAAGAACTTTCTACGGTTTTATTAAAATTATGAACACTGTACAAGCAGAGTTTCTGGAATAACCAAGAACAAACCTTGAATCTATGTCTTTAAAGCTGAAACTGAATATCTTTCAATAAAATCTGTGCACTTTTCAGTGATTCAGACAATAGTGTAAGTTCATCCATGTTTAGATTCCTTTGAGATAAATTTAAAATTGTGGGTTCTTACTTTTAGCATTGGGAAGCCCCTGCCCTACACTGGAAAATAAATCTGATCATCTGTGTTTCATACGTATATATGAACATAGGTTGTGTGTGTGTGTATTTTTTTTTTTAAGGAGCCTTTTCCCTGACATGCTTTGATTTTAAGATAAATCTTTTGTCATAGACCACTGCTGTCTTTTTAGAAAAGCCAAAATGAAGAATGTATTTTACAACTTTTTCTCATCAAAGAGAAATTAAGCACCATTTCGGGGGAACATGTTATAAAATTTTCACTTTCTGCCTTTTGCTTTCCAGTGTCCTGATGTTGTCTTCAATGATTTATCTCCATATTAATTTGTCATTTTGCCCTCATCTGAGAGCATTTTGCTGAACACAAAGTATATGCAAGATTGTACGTGACCAACTGTTTAGCATAATCTACGTCAGTGTGTCCTATTGTCAAATCCCTCCTGCTCTGGAATACCTTGTTCTTTCCAAGGCAGCCTAGGAAGTATTGGGAAGCAGGGTCACTTCACAGACTACTTCAGATGTAAGTTTTTAAAAGTAAATGTGGGGTCAGTTCAGGAACTTTATTTTAAAATGTGTGTTTACTCATTTCGTAGTTGGATGGTTGCAAGAGAAATACAAAGGAGTTGTAGCATGCTTCTCTGTTGTGCACCATGCAGAGAGGATTGACCTGAATATTGTCATTGAAGTTGTGTTCACAGATAAAAAGTAAAGCTAGGATTTTATCTTACCAATTAGGCAGAAAGAAATATCTTAAACTGAAGAATTTTTAGAGCTTTCATCTTAGCAGTTTTACCTTGTAAAAACTAACATCTGCCAGATTAGTTTGAGGTGTGATCTAAATGATTAAAGTGGATTTAATTTATTTTTTACTTTGAGATCTGATACAAAAGATCCTTTTCTAGGAAAACACTGTAAGCAGGACATATCTACTCTAAATGTCTCAGCTTGATGACAATCTTCTTTTAAAATGAAAGAATAAGGAATAGTTAAAAAAATTTGTTTTTTACAAAGATTGCTCTTGAGGAGAATTTTTCCAGTCTTCTTTAAAATAAATCTTATAGATTTTGTTTAATCAAGACATACCCTTTGCCTTTAATACTGTTTCTGTTGAAATGATCCTTTCGAATTTACTGTGTCGTAAATCTGAAAAGTCGGTTTTAAGCAGTATCACTTTTATCATACACATTTTCATGTCTCCTTAGCTAAAATAAAATATAAAATAAAATTATTCAATTTGTCTGAAGTATTTATACTTTTTAGATATACAACATAAGATGTGAATATAAAGTCCATGATGTAAATAATATACTTACTTGTAATCATAATCTATAGGGTGACATTTTTAAGATTGTGCCTGTGTCAGCCTCCTAATAGTTTCTGTGAAGTCCAGACATGCAGTTTATGTCTGTTACATTTATTTTGCATTTTTAGTGTGTGTGGACTATGGAAATCGATTGATGTTATTTTCCCATTTTTATCACTAGGTCACTGTATTTGGATTTATAAATTCAACAAGATACTTTACCTAAACATGTTCAATAGAAATGTTCAATACAAGTGTTTTTATCATTTTTAAAAGATTGAATAAATCTGGGTTGAAGTCACCATGTCTAATCTAGATTTGTCTATGATTCCTTTACAAATAATTTACATTAAGTAATATAAGTACTTATTTTGATGGCAGATTTCATACTTAATCTTGGAGGTAACATTTCTTGTAGGCTTTGTTTTTCAGTTTAATACTCTTTCCAGTGTGGTTATTCTTTTAAATGATAGATTTGAAAGGTGACTTTCCATCATCAGTGCCCCACATAGTATTTAGAAAGGATGTAATCCTGCATGTAATGGGAGGGGTGAGTTTGATTTCAGTCTCATTTGGCTGCAAATAATGCAAAGACAGGCTTTGAAGCTTAAATTATAATCCTAGCTCCAGTGTCCTGGGCCGTGATTTGGCCTTTTTGAGCTTTTTGAGCTTCAGTTTTCTCATATGTTAAAATAAAGATAAAAATGATGTTGGGAAGCCGGTCTTGGTGGCTCAGCCTATAATCCCGCGCCTTGGGAGGCTCAGGTGAGTGGATTGCCTGAGCCTGTGGATTCGATACCCACCTGGGCAACTTGGCGAGACCTCATCTCTACAATAAATCAAAAAATTAACCAGGTGTGGTAGCGCGTGCCTGTAGTTCCAGCTACTTGGAAGGTTGAGGCAGAAGGATCACTGGAGCCCAGCAGGTCAAGGCTGCGGTGGCTGGGAGCGGCCACTGCACTCCTGTCTGGGCGACAGAGTGAGACTCCAACTCAACAAAACAAAACAAAACAAAAACAAAAGTAAAAATGATGTTGGGGTATAGGGAACCCAGAGATGGAGCAGTGACTCTTGAAAACTTGAAGTCTTTATATCTGTACTCAGCTCTTAACTAGATTTAACTCCCTAATCTTCACAGGAGAAAGGATCCAGGATTACTCTGTGCTCTTCCTTGTCTGCCATTCTGTAACACCTGATGTTCATTTAATTTAAAATGTTGGGGTGTGTGATAAGTGCTCCTCCTAGGAGTAGCCATCATTAAAACAAGTGGGCGCTAGTGTGTGCTTCCCAGTGTCTAACATCTCGGATAGAGGCATCAGGTGGGAGGGACACGTTTGGTGTTAGTTCTGCATCCTTGTAGAGTCTTGGGGTCAAGTGGTGATGGCAGAGACGAGCTTGCTGGATAGCAGCTCTCCCGTCTACTACTCTTACTTCTTCCATTACATTACCTGCCTATTTCCTCTCCTGCCTGTAAGTTTTGTAGGTTATTTTACTGATTATAATAAGCAGCACTTTATAAAAATACTAATTTTTATAAAGTATTTCTTAGCATATAGAGACAAAGAAAGCTTCCCAAATGTTTTTTTGTTTGTCAGGGTCTCATCTGTCACCTGGGCTGGAGTGCAATGACATCATGGCTCACCGCAGCCTCGACCTCCTGGGCTTAGGTGATACTTCCACCTAAACTTCCCGAGTAGGCATGCACCATCATGCCTGGCTAAGTTTTGTATTTTTTGTAGAGACGAAGTCTCACTATATTGCCTGGACTTGAGGCAAATGCTTTTAAAAGCATACTTAATCCTATATCTTCCATAGACTGCCAAAACATACTAAACTGATGTCACTTGGGAATTGTACATGGTTAAGTCACATAAAATTAATGTGAAATCCTACAGTATAATAGTGCCTATTATGCGCCAGGTACCCAGCACCTTACCCCATTTAGTTCTCACAACCTAGTGAGACACCTATATGATTATTCTCCTGTAAACAAGGCCGCCTAAGCATAGGGATGTTAGGTCCCTTGTCGTAGGTCACATGACTAGCTAATAGAGCCAAGATTTAGATTCCCATAGTCTGATTTTCTCATCTGCACTTTTAATTACTGTCTTATACTTTTGCGTGAAACTGTGGGCTATGCATATAATAATCTACGACAAAGGTTTTATTCCAATAATTTAGAACTAGGAAATATTTGAATTTTTTTTAGTATTAATACATCAAAAAAGATCAAAAAGGCACTGGATAAAATTAAAAAACTGAGTCCTAATTTGTTGTTTAGAAGCGTTTTTATCATGCAAAGGAAATGTTTTTCCTTCGTTTCTCCCTCCTTTTCTATCTCCCATATTGTGCCTAGTGGGGAAATCTAGAACCCTCCCATTGTAGACAGGAGCAGGGTGTGGGTGCCTTCATCTCTGGTTCTGCCCAGAGCAGTGCCCGAGGGGAAGGGGGAGGGGCACACCCTGTGCTTTCTACAGCCATTAAAATCTGGCATGGCAGAGACACCCCACACGGCTATGAGGTACACAAATTGGTGAACTACAGCATGCACGACAGATGTAAGGCCCTTAATCCATAAAGAACATTCTCAAATCCATGAGGAAATAACACAGCTAAGAGATAATATCCATCAAAGATGTGTACAGGCAAAATAAATAAGAACAGCTGGAAAATAAAGTAAATGTCACATCAACAACATACTGATTAGACACTGGAGGATCCTACTCCTGTCTGTATAGACTAGAAAGAATAGTGATGTGCATTTTCATGGTTGTGAGAAGGAAGCATTCAGAGACAGTCTTTGGCAGTTTCAGTCTTGAGGACACGCAAAAATATGAATCAAAAGCCTTAAAAAGGCTCAGACCCTTTGACACCATACCAGCAGTGTTTTCTGAGGGGTTGGTTAAGTGCACAGAGATGTTTCTATGATAAAGTTCTTCACAGTATTGTTTATAATAAAAACTTGGAAACCTAAATAGCCAATAATAGAAAAAAGTAAAATTATGGTACCTACATACAGTGAAATACTAAGAAACTGTTCATTAGTGTAGACTTTTTTTTTTTTTTTTTTTGAGTCAGAATCTTACTCTTATCACCCAGGCTGGAGTGCAGTGGCATGCTTATGGTCACAGTTTCCTCAGTCTGCTGGGTTCAGGTGATCCTTCTGCCTCTGCCTTCCAAGTAGCTGGAACCACAGGCATGCGCCACCGTACCTGGTTGATTTTTTGATTTATTGTAGAGACTAGATCTCACCATGTTAGCTCCAGCTGGTCTCAAGCCCCTGAGCTCAGGTAGTCCTCTCGCCTCTGCCTCCCAAATTGCTGGGAGTACAGGCATGAGCCACCATGCCTGACTAGTGTAGACATATCTGTTGACAAGGAAGATCTCATAATATATTGGTAATTGAAAGGAAAGGCAAGTTACATGATAGTATATGTGGCATATTTGCATGGGGAATTATTGAGGAATAGAAACTTTGACACTGGTTATCTTAAAATTGTGACATTTTGAGAAATTTTCTTGATATCTGTATCTTTGTTTTTTTTACAATAATGAATGTGTAAATAAATGTATATGCATAACACATACACACGCTACTGGCTTTTACAAAAGTTATCCATGACCTGATATCTTGTTATTTCCATAATGAAGCAATCAAATATTAAGATTATTCTAAGAGGTGAAAAAACATGCTACAACGTATTATGAAAATTAGAATTGAGATCCAATTGTTCAGAAGGCATTTTTCTACTATTTGTAACATACAGGAATAACAAGATATACAATTTTCTCTCATAATCCTTTCATCGTGTTTGGAAGTTATGCATTCTGCTCTCCATCTAGCACATTGGGGAAAATGCTAAATACAATAATTCTGACTTCCCGGGGGTTAGTGATACATAATTAATAACTTTATTTCATCTTCTTTCTCCTGTGTCTTCATTGGGAGATATTCTGGTTCCTCCATTTTGACTCTGGGCCTGTGGCAGGAAACCTGTCCTCTATGCATAGAATGTGTGTGATTGTTTTCCAGTCTAATCTGAAGTGCATGTTGCTCTGTTCATTTCCAATAACAGCAAGTTATTTAGTTTTGAATGATGGATTCGGAACATGCGGGCATGTCTATGCTACAGCAAACCATTCTGCATTCATAGACCTGGGTGTGCTGGACGCTATGTTAAACATTAAGACACTGAAGGACAGATGGCACCTCCGCTGTCTTGGCAGAGTTGCATGTCCTATGGAGAGGTAGAGCTAAACACAGTTTTCAACTAGCTCAAATCTATTCAGATTAATACTTAAAATTGCTACATCATTTTATAAAATGAGTATCATCTTAGCATCTTGTCTCCTACAAACCAGAAAATTTTTATTTAATTTTCTAAGTTTGGATTTTAAAAAATTATTTTCTAATTAAAAATAATTTGAGGAAATAGAGGTTTTTCATAACATTTTTCAAAAATGTAACTTTATTACCCATCTATTATTAGTACATTGTTTTAAACTGCTTTGCTAAAAAAGCAACTTTTGAATTAAAGGATAATTTTTGTAATGTCAGAAATAGCAGCAATAATCATAACTCAGTGCATGCAGTCTTTCGTCATTCAGTTTATGAAAAGCATATTGCCTTAACATAATTTCTTAACTAGAAATTTAGATACAGGAATGTAATTTATTAGACTTTTAAAATATAAAGTCACAAATACAGGATTGTCTTGAAGAGCATTTGAAGGGATTAATTCTCATAAATTTGAAACGGACATTTATATAAGAATTCATGCAAGTTGTTGGCCTTAATACATCTTTTTATTTAAAGAATATTAGCTCCACTTATAGATATGTACATGACTATACATGCGTGTGTGCGTGCAAGAAAGCCTGGAGTTTGAAAGAGCAAATGTCAAAATTCATGATTGTACAGATTTATATCACATTGCAGCCATGTATTTTGCCAATGACAGTTAAATAAGAAATTGCTACTGTAAAACGTGGTAAAACAAAGTATCCTTTCTAGCAGCAAGTAATAGAACTAATTAGTTCATGGTAAAAATTCAAATGGCACAAAGTTACTATGTTGCTATATTAATTATGTCAAAGAAAAATTATTTGTCCCATCCATTTGGAAATTGGTGTTATGTTTGAAGCAGGTGGACTTCATGTTTGAGCAACTATCTTGTTCTAGCATGTATCTTTATAGCCCAGAAAATATTCTCCAAATAGATTCAGATGTATAACTTATGGAACAAACATATTCAGCAACTTGATAAATGTCAGAAAAATATCTCTAAAAATGTCTTGTAAAAAGTTACATGTTTTATCATCTTGTATCTTCTGGCCTTTTCTTTCCATTCCTCAACAGTGGAATATAGGACTACTTGAGACTCTTAGGACAAAGTTGTGTTTCTTTTTTTTTTTTTTTTTTTTTTTTAGTTAGAGTCTCACTCTGTCGCCGA